AAACGGGGGTTTTAGACCCAAAAATGGAGCCAAAAAATCCCAAAAATCAGCAAAAAAAATGGCCCAAAAATGGAGCTAAAATAGCCCAAAAACAGCACCAAAAAAACCCGAAAATCAGAAAAAAAATGGCCCAAAAATGGATCTAAAATAGCCCAAAAATGGACCCAAAACAGCCCAAAAAATGACCTAAAATAGCCCAAAAATGGAGCCGAAATGGCCCCAAAATGGAGCCAAAATGGCCCAAAAATGGAGCCAGAATGGCCCAAAAATGGACCCAGAATGGCACAAAAATGGACCAAAAATGGAGTCAAAAAACCCAAAAATGGCAACAAAAAAAATCCCAAAAATGGACCCAAAATGGTCCAAAAATGGAGCCAAAATGGCCCAAAAATGGACCCAAAATGGCCCAAAAATGGAGCCAAAATGGCCCAAAAATGGACCCTAAAATGGACCCAAAAATGGACCCAAAATGACCCAGAATTGACCCAAAATGGCCCAAACTCGTCCCCGGAGCCGGCGCTGCCGGAACGCCGCGCTGTCCTCGCGGGCCAGGGGGACCCTGGGGGGACACAAAAACGGGGGTTTTAGACCCAAAAATGGAGCCAGAATGGCCCAAAAATGGAGCCAAAAAATCCCGAAAATCAGGAAAAAAATGGCCCAAAAATGGAGCCAAAATGACCCAAAAATCAACACCAGAATAGCTCAAAAATGGACCCAAAATGACCCAAAATGGTCCAAAAATGGAGCCAAAATGGCCCAAAAATGGAGCCAAAATGGCCCAAAAATGGAGCCGAAAAATCCCGAAAATCAGCAAAAAATGGCCCAAAAATGGTCCAAAAATGGATCTAAAATAGCCCAAAAATCCAACCCAGAATGGCCCAAAAATGGAGCCAAAATGGCCCAAAAATGACCCAAAAATGGAGCCAAAAAACCCAAAAATGGCAACAAAAAAAATCCCAAAAATGGACCCAAAATGGTCCAAAAATTGACCCAAAATGTCCCAGAATTGACCCAAAATGTCCCAGAATTGACCCAAAATGGCCCAAACTCGTCCCCGGAGCCGGCGCTGCCGGAACGCCGCGCTGTCCTCGCGGGCCAGGGGGACCCTGGGGGGACACAAAAACGGGGGTTTTAGACCCAAAAATGGAGCCAGAATGGCCCAAAAATGGAGCCAAAAAATCCCGAAAATCAGGAAAAAAATGGCCCAAAAATGGAGCCAAAATGACCCAAAAATCAACACCAGAATAGCTCAAAAATGGACCCAAAATGACCCAAAATGGTCCAAAAATGGAGCCAAAATGGCCCAAAAATGGAGCCAAAATGGCCCAAAAATGGAGCCGAAAAATCCCGAAAATCAGCAAAAAATGGCCCAAAAATGGTCCAAAAATGGATCTAAAATAGCC